AGTCACAACTCTGTCTCTCTCTCTGTCGTAGTCTGAGAAGTCAGGTGGCGAGAGGGTGAGAAGAGAAGGTGGACTTAGAAGAGGAAGAAGAAGAACTCTCTCTCTCTCTCTGTGTCCAGTACTAACCTGTGAAGTTGGCGTCTTGATGCAGGTACCACGAAGATGGAGCTGGAGCGATGGCGCCACTGGTGACCGTCCACGCTCCTAACGCGACGACCTCCATAGGCCAAGCCTTCCCTCACTCTACGGGCGCACTCGCCCAGACTCCGCTCACTACGGCCACGGGATCAAAGCCCTCTGCCGCAATCTCAAATTTTTCGAGTGACCCGCTTCTCCCTCCCCTTCACACAACTGTAGCGTCACCTGACTCTCCCCCTTATGGGATGCCCTGCGCCGCTCGTGCGTCTACTTCCTCCATTCCTCAAACTACTACTCCTCGCTCGATCTATGTCCGACGTCTTGAGGCCAAGTTTGCCCAGACCCGGGCCGACCTCGCCCTCTTACGCCTTCAACTGCCCCTACCCTCATAGGTGGCCGCACCTTTAGGCGCACCCTCTTGTTCGTCTACTCTTCCATCCATGCAGGCTCGCTTCCCTCGCCCTGCACCCCATCCAGCCCCATCCTATCTCCTTTCTACTCCATCGGCTGCTGCGACCTCTTTTACGGCAGCTCCCGCACATGATGCCGTTGTTCCCCCTGTCGCTCCACCATGCGGCCTGAACGTACAGTCAGCTGCGCCCCCTTCTCTGAGACCTGCGCCGACTTACTCGGTCGTAGCGCAGACCTCTGTTCCTCGATCTCCTCGCCGCCAAAACGGTGGCGCACCACTCGTCCGCTTGACGGGCATTGCCTTGTATGACGATATAGGGATACACGTGTCTCGGTGGCTGTAGTCTGCCACCTGCACGGTCCACCTCATGGCCGTCCCACCTGACCAGTGGGTGACTCACCTCTCCACGCGTCTGCGTGGCGATCCTTTCAACGCTTTAAAGAATTTCTATGTTCACTCCCTTCGTGACGGTCGGACCCCAACCTTCATGGATTTCCAGGCGTTCTTCGAGAATCGCTTCGGAGCCCGACACGACGTGACCGACGTCTTCAAGCGTGTCGTGAGTACACGCTGGTCCAGCTTCGATGGCGCTGCCGGCCTGGACCATCACATCCAGGTCTTTCAGGACGCCCGCCTCATTTGTGATGTGGTGTTCCTCCTTGAGGCTGCGCACTTCGATCGCTTCTTGGCCAGCCTTCCCCTTGAGTACCGCTCCCAGTTATGGCGGTATGACTTCACATGGGTCCCGCAGGCCTACGAGGCCGTCAGGGCCCATCAGCGGATGTGGGCCCATCTTCAACACACTTCCTCCTCCCAGCCTTGGCATATTGGTTACGCTCCCTCCTTCTTTCACGACACTTCCCAGCACCGTTCCCCTTTCCACGGTCGTCCCTGCCGTTCCGCGCAGCAGGGCCGCCACTTCTTGCGCTGCTTCATCGCACTTGAGTATGGTGAGCAGGACGTTGTTGCCCCGCTGTCACCTGAGGGTAACCATAGCGACGACCTCGACCTCTTCGAGGTCGTTCACTATTACCTAAGGTATTCTACCCTTCCTATAATCGGGCGCCTCCAACTCGCCCTTTCCACCCTCTCTCGGGCATGCAGCCGCTTTGGTCACACTAGCACGTCGCCCCTTGAGGTCACTCAACAGGACCTCCCTCTGGACTTTGTCCCTTCTCGCGGTGTTCTTTTTGCTGAGGAGCGCGCGACCATTTTGGGTCGGTGTTTGCGCTGCTGCCAGAACAGTCATACCTCCTCATGGTGCCCTTACCCCGCCGCCCTCGACCGCCACTACGCTGAGTTTTCCCTCGAGCGTCGTGCTCAATCCCCCCCGGCGCCTCCTAGCCAATGTGCAGTGTACACCTGCGTCCTCCTCAGTAGTCGGCTTTCCGACGTCTCAGTCGCCGTTTGCCCCTCTCGCTACTGGAGTTGAGGTATCGCAGGACCCGACAGAGTGGACTCATCCCTCTGTCGCAGTACCGTCTGCGCTTCCGCAGACCACCGTCTCTCTTCGCACCTCTCCGCGATTACCGACGCGTAGAGCCATTCTCTCAGCCTGTTGCACCGAGCAACTTGCGACACGCGAGGACGTTGTGTCCTCCCTTTTGGACTTGAGCATGCTCCCTTCGTGACATATGGTTGTCTTGTTATTGTTTTGTTGCTCTCAGACTGAGGCCTATGCCCCTGACATTTCTAGGATTTAGTTGTCTTTGTTTTGGTTGTTCTTAGGACTTGTACACTAGTCAACTATTCCTAGACCGAGGCTACTGCCTCCAACATTCTAGGAATTAGTTGTCATTACTCTCTACTTTCCGAGGACATGTATACTAGTTAGTTGCTTTCTGCTTTCACTTAGGCTGTTAGCTGTGACATTGCTGCTTTTGCAACATTTTCTAGCCTAGGTTGCATCGCATGGACTCAACATGGAGCTTGCTTCGCATCCTAAACTACTCGGTTTTTCTTTCCTTTGGTAGAGTTCCGCTTCTTGGCGGAAGCGTGCTTGTATCGAGGTCATCCATCACAGGCCGAGGATCGTGTAGCGGACCTCTGGTTGACCTGTGAGACCAGCCCCTTGGCTTGTTCCCACAAGTCTGTGTTGTATTCGGGGTAGTCTAGTCCATGTCGGTACCAGCCAGTCCAGTACAGCCCAGTCAGTCCGGTGGGGTATTTCCCAACCAGAGTCTGTACTTGGATCATTCTACATTCGCACAATTTGGAGTACGTGCGTTGGAGTCTTTCGTGGGATTTGCGTTGTGTCATCTTGCTCCACCCTTATCCTCCATCTCCATCTCTATCCCAGGTGGAGCACCTCACCCGATGGGTCCGCCACGGACCTCGAGTGTGAAAAGGCCCACTCGAAACGATTGATTGCAAAAAAAATAATAATTATGGTGGTGTATCTTTCCATATTCTAGCCAAAGATTCACACTCTCGTTTTACACGTGTCCAGAGCAGTGGAGCCAGACCCTAATGTGCATATACGAAGGCCTTAGTGTTTCCAAAGTTTGTGTGGCGAGGGGGGGGGTTCCTTTCGACGAGCAGCCTTTCGAAAAAAGTATGACACCTTTCGGAAAAGACATAGGTCTTCATTCGAAAGGTTGTGTGGCGAACCCCTAATCCAAATACATGGGTAGTGGGATCACCCTCCAGGGGGCGGTGTCGCTCGCATCGATCCCGCAGGGGGACCCTCCCAGCTGCGTCACGCAGGATTTTGCAGGACTTCGTCGCATAGCATTTTGCCGCTCCGGCTGAGTGCGTCAGTCGTACCTCTCGCGAGTTCCTACGACAGGATAGGGTCACACGAGGCACAACTTACCTCCACCCGCGGGAGTTGTCACCATCCCTTGGGTGGGCGTATCCCCGCTGAGCTACCGAACCACGTGCGGAGGCTTTTCGTATGCAATCGCAGAGGTGGCCCGACCGAGGGCGTTTCTCGTTTGTTGTAGCATATGGGGTTTGCGACGTTAATGCGCCAAATTGGACCTGAACGCGAATCTGCGCACTGGGGGGCTGAGGTCTCAAACACGATTCGTCGTAGGTCGACTAGGACGCATTCCACTCACCATGCGCTACACAAAAATTAAAAATACACTAAAAAACAGAACTCTCCTAGTCCCTTCGGTGTTTTACCCATAACCTTGTAACACGAAAATCAGTTAGGCGTTGTGTGCGAACCTCCAGATAAAACCACTAAAACGCTAGGGCTTTCTCATATCGACTAGCAATGCAAGCATACGCACGCAGTCACAACGATGGAGTACTATGTAGTACCCATAATCACGGGACCCTCGATAGTCTCGGGGGTCACACTTCGACACTGAAGTGTCGGCTGACACGCGCCTTGAGGGGTTAATCTCTCGACGCTAGACAACCGCCAAGGCGGTTGATCACCACACCCTCTTCTGCACCTTGCGGAGAGTGGGTGGTACACAGGTTTAAACATGTGGTGGCAGTTGACTCTAGTGACCTAGGAGGCAAGCTCCATCATCCAAGGTCTGGAGAGAAATCAAGGGGTTTGACTTTGATGGCTGCCACGGACTACGACGTCCAACCATAATAACTCTAAAAAACAAAAGGTAAAAGGGGATCTCATTTTTTTCTCAAGACATAGATTGTTTAACTTTCGCACGTGATCACAGCAGACCGTATGGATACTAAATGTATGTGTAAAGTGAGAATGTATATATATACGTATATGAGGGGTTATGAAATATGAGGCTATCACTTTTCACAACCACTGCAGGGTTCCCTTCAAGCATTATAGTTATGCTAAACAAGGGTAGTTCAAATAGTCAAGCAAAATTTTGTGTGGTATCAGACAAGTACTCTCACAATAGTAGTATGGCTTGTCCATCAACTTTCGAACAATACTCAAACTATCATCGAAATCAATCCAAAGATATTATACGCATATCTGCGATCACACAAAGGTCAAGCAATAACATCACACACACTAAGCGAGTCAACTTTACTGCGTTTCTGGGACTCACATCCTGCCTTATACATATAAGCCCCAACCAATTTCCACCAATCCTCAAATAAAGGTACTCAGTCTTTAAAAATGACCACTTAGAAAGAAATCTGGGTAAAAAATCCCACGAAACATGAAAAATCCACAAGAGTCAAGGCTTTAGGTTGAGATGCAGAAGCAGAGAAGTTGTGTCGTTAATCGACCTGTTATCAAGGGATAACAGAAGAGTGATCTTTCGTAGGACTAGACTGAACGAATCAAGCTTTCAATCAAATTCGTTGACCTGCATCACAATTCAAGCCAAAGGGGGCCGCGTACTTCATTCAAGATAGATAGAGGGTCAACAGACTCAACACCACTCCATAGCCTATCTCCTTTACTAACGTTTCCTTACTTTCTTCAGAAGTCATCGAGAGCTTTGACATCACCTTGCCAAAGTTTTCCCTAGCAGAAAATAATCTAACTTTCTAAACTTCATAAAATTTCGGCTACGCTTCTCGTAGGAAAAGTGTCTTTTCAGAATTTTCAGATGTAAAAAAATGACTAACTCTTTCAGATTCGTAAAAATTTCAGTAGTGCTTCCCTTAAGAACAAGAGACTGTCAATATTTATACAAAGTTAACAATGCAAAAACAAAATACAACTACACTTGAGACTAACTTATGACACTTACTTTATAGTTTAAGTTGGTGATAGTTTACACGACCCTCTTTTGAAGATGGTATCGTGAGCTAC